AACTGAAGATTTACAGATCCAGATTCAAGATTCATTAATCAAGTCAGAAATCAATTGATTAAGGTATGTTCCGCGTTAATTCAGTTTCTTGATGATTTGACATGAAGATCTTGGCAAGATCATAAAGTTCAAGTTTTTAATAAAGTTCTAATAGGGGATTGTTGAAATTATTGTTCAAAGTCAATAAAAAGGGATTTGGAAGCCAAAAGTTTGCACTATACGACAGCATAGTCCAAGAGGGATGCAATTGCATGTATACATGCACGGTTTTCAAGCCCTACAGTTGAGTCTTCTATGCGACCGCATAGATATGATCTATGTAGTTCCATAGGTTTAAAAAGTAGTCATTGGGCTGGCTTCCTTGTTTGAATTTTTGGTGGCTTTTGGTGAAAAGTACCCAACTTTTCACGGATTTTTGGCACCATTTCGTGGGTCTTGATTGAGACCTATATATAGATGTCTCATGATCAACACAAATTACATTAAAACCCCATTATTGAAATCATTTGAAATTACATTCCATTCCAAAATAGAAAAGATAAAATTCTTTTCATTCATATTCAAATTCTTTCTTGTGTTCTTGAAGTTTTGGTAGAAAAACACTAAGTGCTTAAGTGTTTCTATTATAAGGCTGATAAAATCCTACAAACCATTTGCCAAAAAACCCCTATAAGCACCAAATTTCAATCCGAAATGGGGTAAATATCGTTTGAGGACAACGATATAATTATCGTGTTTAGGCCTTTTGATTCTTCTTTGATGATCATGATTATTTATTTCTGGTTTCTTCTCCAACCCCTTTAAGTGGAAAAGCAATATTTTTGTACAATGTTTGCCATCAAAACATATATCAAAGAAACATGCTACACATGTACACGTGAAAATGTTTGTCAATTTTCAACCACAAGCATGTATCACACACACAACACGAATATTCGTGTATATAAGCACATACCTCCTCAAGTTGCATGGTCATTAAAAATCTATCCACTCCAATCTCTCTAAAAATATAACAATGACAAAACAACGTGACGATACCAAGACCTGCATCCATTTGGCTAATGAAACATTTGAAAGTAAGAAGCCCTTCTCTTTCAGTTCCCTCTTTCAGAATTTACTGTTTTTAATACTATTTGCACAACTTTCTAGCTTTATAATTCCATGCCAAGCTACATGCAGAAAAGTTGACCGTGACTCCCTTTTAGCCTTCTCCTTTGGTGTCTCCAGTTCAAATCCTTTGAATTGGTCTTCCTCCATTGACTGTTGCAGGTGGGAAGGTGTCAGTTGTGATGACAATGATCGGGTTATCCATCTGTTGCTCCCATCAAGGGCACTTGTTGGAAGCGTATCTGCTTCTATTGCAAACCTCAGCCGTCTCTCTCAACTCAATCTCTCGCAAAATAGGCTATCAGGTCCTATTCCAGACGGATTTTTTATGGCCTTCAAACGCCTGGAGGTCGTTGATTAGAGCGAAAATCGTCTAACTGGAATGTTGTCTGATTTTGATAGGCTGATGAGTACAGTCAAAACAGTGAATTTATCCAGTAACCAATTTCAGGGAACAATCCAATCTTCATTCCTCCCGCCAGCATTGAATTTGCAAAGATTTGACGTCAGCAATAACAGCTTCTCCGGGCCACTTCCTTCGTCTATCTGTGAATTTTCCCCCTCAATCCAGCATCTTGATTTCTCACGAAATCGCTTTTTTGGTCCGATTTCTGAAGGTTTTGGCCAGTGTTCCAATCTGCTGAGTCTACGAGCAGATTCAAATAATCTTACGGGAGATGTTCCCGGCGATATCTACACAATTTCATCACTGCGAGAACTGTACTTGTCTGCCAATAGACTCTCTGGTCCCATCTATGGAAGTATTGTTAACGTCATTAACCTTAGAACCCTTTCACTCAATGAAAATGAATTGACAGGAGCCATTCCTCAAGATATTGGGCGGCTCTCCAACCTTGAAAACTTGTTCCTTCATAGAAATCTACTAAATGGCACTCTGACCCCATCTCTTGCAAACTGTACAAGACTCGAGATGCTGGATTTAAGAGAGAACTTCCTTCAAGGTGAACTTTCTGCATTCAATTTTGTTAGGGAATTATTGAGAGCAATTACCCAAGGCCCAAGCCCACACCATCAGGTCCAAGTGAGGTTCCATCCCAAAACCAATTGGTAATGGGTGGAGTAGCCCACTTGAGTTATATGGTGGATTTATTTTCTTTCTCACAACCGATGTGGGATTTGTTTGCCCCAACAATCCCTCCCTCAAACAAGGCTCACGAGGTAAATCACCACTCATCGAGATAATCCATCGTAGCCTGCACCCACTACGTTACCATGGATCCACCATCTCATGAGAATTTTCCACCACCTCTATTTATCTAGCCACACAACTTGGGCTCTGATACCACTGTTAGGGAATTATTGAGAGCAATTACCCAAGGCCCAAACCCACACCACAAGGCCCAAGCGAGGTTCCATCTCAAAACCAATTGGTAATGGGTGGAGTAGCCCACTTGAGTTATATGGTGGATTTATTTTCTTCCCACAACCGATGTGGGATTTGTTTGCCCCAACAAATTTCTCCAAATTCATTCAGCTTAGGTCAGTTGACCTGGGGAATAATTTATTCAGTGGTAGATTGCCAGAAAGCCTTTTTTCAATCGAGACACTGACTGCAATTAGCCTGGCCTCAAATAGCCTAAATGGCGAGATATCGCCTGGCATAACGGGGTTACCGTCTCTGTCTTTCCTATCCCTTCCTAATAACAGCCTAAATAATATCACAAGTGCCATGCAAATTCTAGCAGGGTGCAAGAACCTCAGAACATTAATCATCTCAGTAAATTTTGACGATGAATCATTGCCTGACGATGAAAGCATGATGAATTATGATGGTTTTCAAAATCTCAGAGTCCTGATTTCAAGTGGTAGTGGACTCACTGGTCAAATTCCAACATGGTTGTCAAGATTAGGTAAGCTGGAGGTTCTAGACCTNTGTTACATTAAAATCTTCATCGTGGATCCGGCTCCATTCCGGCTTGGTTAGGTGATCTTCGTAACCTTTTCCACTTAGATCTGTCCCACAATCTTCTCTCAGGACAATTCCCGGTGGAACTCGCAGGACTGAGAAGACTGGCCACGAAACAGAGTACAGATCAAGTAGACCGAAGTTATTTAGAGTTGTCTGTCTTTATTCAGCCTTATAACTCCTCCAATCTGCAATATGTTAAGCTCTCTAACCTGCCACCAGCAATATACATCGGGAGTAACAGTATCAGTGGTACCATCCCGACTGAGATTGGCCAGTTGAAGTTTATAACTGCCCTGGATCTCAGCAACAACAATTTCTCTGGCAGCATTCCTGACACAATATCTAATCTCACTAACTTGGAAAAACTGGACCTCTCTAACAACCATTTTTCTGGTCAAATTCCTGCATCAGTCAAGAATCTTCATTTTCTGTCCTTTTTCAGTGTTGCGTACAACTATCTTGAAGGTCCTATACCCGTTGGAGGCCAGTTTGACACATTTCCCAATTCAAGCTTTGAAGGAAATCCACGTTTGTGTGGTGAATTTTTGCCACTCTCTTGCAGCGGCCAATCGGACCCTACCCATCAGTTAGCACAAAGGAAAGGAACAAAGAGAAAAATCCTTAATTGGTATAGCTTTGGGATAAGTTATGGAATTAGCTTCATCCTGGCAGTGCTGGCAGGTTTGAAATTTTTGTGAGTTCAAATGCTAATAATCACGTTTACATTACAATAAAAAGAGAGAGGGAGATTTAAAATATACCCAAATCAGACAATCAGTTTCTTGATTGAATTCGAATTGACGAACTTTCCGCTTTTTAATTCAGGATATTCCAAGTTTTACTTCATCTTCACACTCCCAACATTCAAATCTTAAGGTTACAAAATTCAATTTTCCGCTTTTTAATTCAGGAAATTCCCAGTTTTAATTCAAGATCTTCACACTCCCAACATTCAAATCTTCTATGGTATTCTACAGATTAAAGACTATACCGTGGTGTGGATATCTTTTCAATTAAATCAAAAACGTATATTTATTCTGGGCGGACCACGAAAATATCGAGAAGATGAAACAGTAATTTTATCTCTTGTTCTCTTTCTTCACTATATTCAGTCCCTAGTGCCTTGTACGTAGAATAGTATTTTTTGAAAATATGTGATTAAAAATAATGAAAAAGTTATGAATTTACGTGTTGAATATTTTATTGTGTGAACATGTATTTCAAAATTATCATATAGCAAAAATTAAATTAAATTGAAGGTTGTCTCTTTGTCAAGACCTGTTTGTACATAATTAGATCATGTTTAGTTGATCTTAGATCGCCAAATTCAATTATTAGTATTTGCTTTTTTTTTTTTTTCCAACTAAAAGCAAATGATTGTAATCTCGAGATATATAATATTACAAAAACTATAATATATGTGCAATATTTTCATCTAGCATGCCATATATATAATTTATCTCTATCTGAGATAAAATAATTAGGTAGGGGCATAAATGCCATTTTTGCCCTTTCAATTCTTCTAAGTAACTTGAGCAACATTTTCTTCAATTGTCCTGAGAAGAAATCATAGATGTCGAATTATAGCCATCGCTAAATTTTGAATTCAGATTTATAATTGTTCAATAAAAAATACTTCAATGGTCATTAATTCCATTTTTCACTACTTCTTAAGTTTCCTACTAACCGAGATATTTGACAAATCAAATTGATCTAACTTATTAATAGACCAGAGAATTATTAAACTCATGAAAAGATATGTACAACTCCGTCCACGATTTTTGACAAACACCCGATAATCATGTTGAATTTAATTCTTTATACGGTCATGTTATAGGATTAAACTCAACATGTGATAAATTCAATACACTCCAAGTATATTGGTGTCATCATTAAACTATTTTTGTGATAACAAGAAATCGCAAACCCGAATATTGAAATAATAAATACTACAACCTTTCGGTACAAGGTATCAACCTTTATATATTGATTGTAAAAAAAAAAAAAAATTATTTATGTGCAAAATATAAGTAGTGTCATATTGTTATTCTCGACACAAATACCTAACTTATTTACCAATCAAACTCCATTGTGATAACAAAGCTGCTATCAATATTTTTCTAAATCCTGTTCAACTTAACAGAACTAAACACGTAGAAATAGACAAACATTTCATCAAAGAAAAAAGTGGAAGTTGGAGTTACCGAAGGACATCTTTACCGAAGGATTACCCAAGCACAATTTTGTTTATTTCATTTGCAAGTTTGATATGATCAATATCTACGATCCAACTTAAGGGAGAGTGTAGAAATACTAGAAATTAATAATGATTTATATATGATTAATTAAATATTTTCATAACTTGGGCTGATTGGTAGGCTAAATGCTTGTCTCCTAAATTAGGAGATTTTTTTTTCTTTTTTTTTCTTTATTGTCGTACTATAAATAGGTATATATAAATCATTCAAGAAATACAGAAATAAATTATTCTAATTTCAGTAATAAACCAAATTAATAGTTCTAGAGAAATAGTGACCACTGAATTGAAAAAGAAAACGGTAACACATTATCTATGGTTTACTGATGAATAAATTTGTTTCTCTTATTATAATGAAGACTCCATTATGCACCAAAGAGTTTTGAATAACCTGCGATAAAAAAAGAATCCCAGGAATATAAGATAAATAAATTATATGATATGCCAACTTATTAGTTATTCAATTAAAGTGAAAGAAGGTGTAATTTCGTTCATTAAGACCGAAATAATTCAGTTAGTAAGATGGCGAAATATAAAAATATGAAAAAGTTCAGGCCAACTTCATTTGGTTCTAATGTCAACTCTCGAGTTCAAAATTGTGACAAATAATGATTTTACTGTGCTATATTTTAAATAATCGTTTGCGGTGAATAAATGGTTGGCAGAATATCGCATTTCAAAATATTATTTTACCAAAAAAAAAAATATATATCAATTTGACCAAACCCAAAACCACGACCCGTGCCGACCAATCGGTGGCACGCGGGTTTTGGCTTAATCTACTTGTATATATGTTATCCCCACTTTAAAGACTATTGGTACCTCTTGGGGTCCAAACTCAAATCTTAAACTTGAGCAATATAAAGTAGAATTTATTCTTTTATCTTTCTTACGTGGGATTGTCATTTTCCAATTTCCATCAATTTTTATTTCCAATTTATTTCAAGTTCAAATGGTCATCTTTTGACATAAATTTCTTGTTCACCCTAAATTAGTTTTGAGAAAATAAATACATTACATTAATCTACTTATGGAGTAGAATACATTCGGCCCAAGAAATCTTTTGTCCAGCTAACGGAACCCACTAAAATAATTGGTCAAAATTTGGTCAAATCAACTAATTAAACCAATTTTTCCAATAAAAATTCTACAAACAAGAATATTAATAATAGTACAATCAGATCCCAAACTAACTTGCATATGACTTTTAGATAGAAAAAAATGTGGAAAAAAATACAGATTCTTAATTATTTAATCAATAACTTCAAGATCAAGAGTAAGCCCATAGTTTTACCTGTTCAATATGAATTAGGAAGTCAGCTTTTTTAGAATGAATAATGCAGATAATGGTCATTTTTAAAGGGAAAATATAGAGTATGACATGAATAGATGCTAAAAGAAATAGAATATTAATATTATCAAGCGGCAAACATCTTTGTCAGATCAAGAATACTGTTAACAAAAACTTCATAGTCATTTTCATCTAAACTTTCAAACAAAGGCATTTTAAATATTTCCAGTAAGAATAAGATTTTCTCCCTGCAATTTTTATGCAAGTCTTTCAATAATTATACCCTTCTGAAGATTTAAGATTTTCACTTGGAAAGGAACACATTCTGTTTCAAGCTCTCAAGAGGTAGAAGAGGGGACATTCTTATTACTGTCCTAACAATGACAAAACAGCAAGAAAATACCAAGACCTGCATCCATTCGGCTAATGAAACATTTGAAACTAAGCAGCAGCCCTTCTCTTTCAGTTCCCTCTTTCAGAATTTACTGCTTTTAATACTATTTGCTCAACTTTCTAGCTTTATAATTCCCTGCCAAGCCACATGCAGAAAAGTTGAACGTGACTCCCTTTTAGCCTTCTCCTCTGGTGTCTCCAGTTCATATCCTTTGAATTGGTCTTCCTCCATTGATTGTTGCATGTGGGAAGGTGTCAGTTGTGATAATAATGATCGGGTTATCCATTTGCTACTGCCATCAAGAGGACTTGTTGGAAGCATATCTCCTTCTATTGCAAACCTCAGCCATCTCTCTCAACTCAATCTCTCGCAAAATTCGTTATCAGGACCTATTCCGGATGGATTTTTTATGGCCTTGAACCGCCTGGTAATCATTGATATAAGCCATAATCGTCTCACCGGACAGTTATCAGATTCTGATAAGTTGATGAGTACTGTCGCAATAGTGGATTTCTCTGGCAACCACTTCTATGGGAGAATCCAATCTTCATTTCTCCAGCGAGCATTGAATTTGCAAAGATTTGATGTCAGGAATAACAGCTTCTCCGGTTCGATCCCTTCATCTGTCTGCAGATTTTCGCCCTCAATTGTGCATCTCGATTTCTCCAATAATGACTTTCTAGGCCCGATTTCGCAAGGTTTTGGCCAGTGTCCCAATCTATTGAGACTAAAAGCAGGTTTCAATAACCTTTCGGGTGCCATTCCCAGTGATATTTACACAATTTCGGCACTGCAAGAACTATACTTGCCTGCCAATAAGCTCTCTGGAGTGATAGATGGAAGCATTGTTAACCTCATTAACCTTAGAATCCTCTCTCTCTATGGTAATGAATTGACAGGAATGATTCCTCAAGATATTGGGAGGCTCTCCAACTTGGTACAATTGTGGCTTCACATAAATAAACTAAATGGAACTCTGCCCCAATCTCTTACGAATTGTACGAGACTTACAACGCTGAATTTAAGGGTCAACCTCCTTGAAGGTGAGCTTTCTGCTTTTGATTTCTCCAAATTCATTCAGCTTAGATCAATTGACCTTGGGAATAATTTCTTCAGAGGTAGATTGCCATCGAGCCTTTTTTTGTGCAAGAATTTGACTGCAATTCGCTTGGCTACTAATAGTTTAAATGGAGAGGTTTTGCCTGATATAATGGCATTACAATCTCTATCCTTCTTATCCCTTTCTAATAATAGCCTAAACAATATCACCAGTGCTATGCGCATCCTAACAGGGTGCAAGAACCTCAGCACTTTGATCCTCTCAAAAAATTTTTACAATGAACCACTGCCTGGAGATGAAAACTTGATAAGAGCTGGCGAGTTCCAAAATCTTCAAGTCCTGGGTTTAGGTGGCTGTGGATTCACTGGTCTAATTCCAATTTGGCTGTCCAGACTAGATAAGCTGGAGGTTCTAGACTTATCGCTTAACAACATCACAGGCTCCGTCCCAGGATGGTTTGGGGATCTTCCAAACCTTTTCTACTTGGATTTGTCCCAAAACCTTCTATCAGGAAAATTCACCATGGAACTTATAAAACTGAGAAGACTAGCAACACAACGGACTTCAGATCAAGTAGACCAAAGTTATTTAGAATTGCCTGTCTTTGTTCAGCCCAATAATGCCTCCAATCTGCAATACAACCAGCTCTCCAACCTGCCACCAGCAATATACCTCAGGAGTAACAGTATCAGTGGTACCATCCCAATTGAGATTGGCCAATTGAAGTTTATCGTTGCCCTGGATCTCAGCGATAACAATTTCTCTGGCAGCATTCCGGACACAATATCTAATCTCACTAACTTGGAAAAACTGGACCTCTCTATCAACTATCTTTCTGGTCGAATTCCTGCATCGCTCACAAAACTTCACTTTCTGTCTTTCTTCAATGTTGCATACAACAATCTTGATGGTCCAATACCTGTAGGAGGTCAGTTTGACACATTTCCTAATTCAAGCTTTGAAGGAAATCCACGTTTGTGTGGTAAAATTTTGCAGCGCTCGTGTAGTAGTCAATCAGAAACTACCCATCAGTTAGCACGAAGGAAAGGAACAAAGAGAGAAATCATTAATTGGCACATCTTTGGGATAAGTTTTGGAATTAGCTTCATCCTGGCAGTGCTAGCAGGTTTGAAATTCTTTTAGTCGTGATCACAAGAGCTAATCATATGGTAAATTGCAATTAGCTGCATTATGACAGCGTTAGCAGGTTTATATAGACCAACAGAAAGAGTTGAAATGAAAAACAGGTGTTTGAATTGATAACAACTTTTCTAGGTACCAACTGGATATACAAATTACACCACAATTCAGTGTGAATTCATATTGGTAACAAAATTGCACTGGATGCATTTCAGAATGTACAAAAAATAGTGCGAACCTCCGATATAAATATTCTGAGATGAATTGTTTTTCTTGTCAAGGGCATGAGAAGAAAGCCGTTTAATATTATTAAACTTTAGGCCTAGGATATTCTTGTGGCTTATTTTCCACGAAGCTTTGCCATCTTCTGCTAATCTGGTTCAAAATTGTTAATAGAGTGAATAGTTCATGTAGGAGGTGGGGCGATGTGGGGAGTATAATCCATGTTTTATTTTCTTGTCCTTGTGCAAAAAGAGTGTTGGAACATATTGGATAATGGGATTTAATCAAGCAGTACTTGAGTTATAATTTGCCATTGTTGCTGCTGAATTTTTATATTGTGCTATTGTGCAGACTTTAAATTCTTGAGTTGGAAACGATGGATGGTTTGGTGGTATAGGAACAAGGTGGTGCATAGTGGGCTTCCTCAGTCAGCAGAAATAGTTGGAGAGGTTTCCGTTATAACAGCCAGGCACAGGTTTTACTTTGAAGCACCAACGCCATCGTCAATATCTCCAGAGTGGCGCGTGCCTAATATTGGGGAATTGAAAATAAATACTGGTGCCGCTGCACAGCTCGGGGAGCATTACATTGGCATCGGTGCAGTCATTAGGGACCACGAGGGTGTTGTAGTCTCTGCTTGTTCACAGCGAATGGTCGGTGGATTCCAACCTGAAGTGGCTGAGGCAATCGCTCTTCGGGAAGGCTTACTTTTTGCAAAAAATAATAGGTTCAAACTTGCTGTGGCAGAGTGTGATGCCTTGAGAATAATTCAGTGTCTGCATTCAGAGTTTTGTATGACTTCATATGCTGCCATTCTTTATGATATTGTAGCACTTTTAGAAGAAGTCAATTGTGGTACGTGTTGCTTTATTCCACGAGCCGGAAATCAAGTGGCCCATAAACTTGCTTCTTTTGCTGTTTCAGAACCAGTTGTTTCCAACTGGTTGGATTGCATTCCAATTTTCCTCTCGCACTCAGTGCTTGTTGATATGAATTAATGTAAGTGTTTTTGTTTGTTCATAAAACAATATCGACAATGGTTTGCAATTATTAAGTGGATTCCGAAAGTGAGTATGTTTCTTGATTGTAAGTGCACATGAAGATAGTTTTATCAATTAACTTTTTTGGTATAGAGAAGTAAGAGACCAATGAGCATATTAACACCCTCAAACTTGAATATTTGTTTGTCCTCAAACAAGATTATAACATAACTTAAACAAAAAATTTTAAACACACATATAGTTAGATAATTTGCCTTTTGTCTCAAAATTGGAATACATGTATTAAAACTATGAACTGCTACAAAATTACAATGTTAAAATTAACTTCTACTTATCCATTGCAAAATCGACGTTTGTGTGTGTGTGTGAAAATTCATGTCAAGTATCATAAATTCAAAAAGTAATTCAAATCCCAACCCTTTATGGCTAAGCGTTTCCTTTCTTTACTCGTAAGATACACATCTCCCAAATTTCATTATTTTCACTCTTTCCCCAAGGTGTGACATAAGGTTGCATTTTTAATATAATACTAATCATTACCCTCTCTAGTTGGGTTTTATTTTACTAATTGCAGTTCAATACATCAACAAATGCGGATTTTCCTTATTTTTTATTGCTTCAACCTCTAAGAATCAATTAAGCTAACAATCTCTTGTCAAAAGTCTAATTCTCTCAAACGAGTGTTCGGGGCTAAATCAAGACATGTAGGAATTTTTTTTTAACTATTGAGCACACTCTTCTCCATTAAACTTTCTAAATGACCCTTGTAGCTAGTTTTCAACCGATGACTCCTAAGTCAAATGATCATAGGGCACCAAGTTTTTAGATACCCTTGCAAAATTAATCACTCAGAGTCATAAAAACTACAAAGAGAAGTTTCACAATAAGATAACACCACATGTTCATTATTTTTTCTAATTTTTTCTTCTTTCTTTCTATGATCCGTGCAATTAATACCCTTTATAAACACTCATTTTCAAAAATCGACCCCCAATTTAAGATTTCAACCTAATTTTCATCTTATTAGCTATAAACAATCTACACAAAATTTAGCACACATGTAATCCATATCTATATCAATGTTTCACTACAACAACTCAANTTTAGCACGCATGGAATTCACATATATTTCAATGTCTCCCTACAACATCTCAATCACCCCCAAACTATCTTAGGATTGGTTTAAGGATGTATAATTTAGTGGTTATTTGGATTTAGCATCTAAGGTCCACTAATTTTTTTTTTCTTTTTTACATATTCAAATTTTGAATCAAACTATTTCTTCATGATACAAAACATAAATCTTGTACGCAAAAATATCAAATTTCACATGAATAAGCATAAATTAACCTTAACACGTAACTTTTTCACAATTTATAATCTAATACATGATTCCAAATATATGCATGGAGACAAAATTATCTAACACACACAAGCACACAAAAATAATAAATAAGCTGAAAATAGATTTTTTCACTCGAACAAGCACGCAAACCAATAGAAACTCAATATTTTTCCACCCCCAAAATTATAATCGACATTGTCCTCAATGTCTAAAAATATAACATGCAATATATAAAAATTAAGGGCAAAAAAGGGAACTAAGTACTCACCTGATATATATTTAAAGGTGGTGGATGGAGTTGCATGAAAGTTCTGACTCACTTGTTATGTCTTTTCCCTTTTCCAATGTGTTCAGATGACACGTTTCTTCAAAATAGTAAAAATCAATCAAAACATGGAACAATTTATAATAAACTCTAACATATCCTAAAGGGAAGTATATGGATGAAGATACCCTATACTAATTAAAAGCAATAATATTTATAAGTCTATATTCTAGAAAACAAAGTTAACTAAAAGAGAAGAAAATTGGGTTGCCTCCTAATAAGCGCTTGTTTATACTCATTAGNTAAGATTTTCATTGTTGTCTCGCCCATCAATTCCACTTTCATCTTTCCTATTCTTGTTAATTCCCCAATGATTGATCTTTCGACATTCCTCAATGTTTGGAGGTTGCTTGAATGGAGCATTCATGGTGAAATTTTGTTGTTTTTCTTCCACCCTTAAGATTATTTCACCGTTTTCAAAATCCATTAATGCCCGTGCAGTAGATAAAAATGGTCTTTCCAAGATTAACGACATATGCTGAGCATCTATATCAAGGATAATGAAATCAGCTGGAAAGAAGTTATTTCCAACTTTGATGAGCATATACTTTACCACTCCATAAGGATGCTTGAGTGTCTTATCAGCCAGCTGTAGGGTTATTGATGTTGCTTTTGGACCATCCAATCCTAATTTCCTGTAGATAGACAATGGCATCAGATTAATACTTGCTCCAGAATCAATTAAAGCATTTAAATTATTTGAATTTCCTGTAGAGCAAGGTACTGTGAAACTCCATGGATCTTTTAGTTTAGGAGGGAGCATTTGCTTTATGATTGCGATGCACTCTTCTGTCAGAGCCACCGTTTCATCTATTGACAGCTTTCTCTTCTTAGTTAACATCTCTTTTAGAAACTTTGTATAATTTGGAATCTGTTGAATGGCGTCAATGAAAGGAATGCTGATGTAAAGTTGTCTGAGGGCATCTAAAAACTTCTTGAATTGTTTGTCCAGCTTGTTGTTTTGCAACTTTTGAGGGAATAGGACTCGAGGTGTGTGTTTATTGATAGGAGCAATTGCCTTACCCAATTGACTATTCGACTTTTCTTTTTGTGTAACCTTTGTTGATTCTTCAAACTGAACTACTTGTTCATTGCCAGTGGTAGGTACTTGACTCTCCTCTACTCCTATCTTTTTCACCTTAATTTCTGGAAACTGAACTCCACTTCTTATTATAATGGCTTGGACTTGTTCCTCTTTTGGCTTCCGTTGAAGTCTTTGAGGGAATGGAATATGTGGCACATATGCTCGAATAGGGGTTGTATGCTTAATTTCTAGTGTCTCAATAATTGCATAATTCACAGCTTTAATTGCTAATACATGTTCTCTTGGATTTGTCTCTATGTTACTTGGTAAGGTCTCTTGAGTTAGCCCTGCTAATGCAGCTGTCATCTGACCCATCTGAGTTTCCAAGTTTTTAGTTACAGCCTCCTGGTTCTGAATAATTGTCTGTTGGGTTTGGAAATTAGTCTCACTCTTAGTAATGAACTAAGTTAATAATTCCTCCATTGATAACTTTCTGTTTTGCTGCTTCCGTTGTTGAAATCCCGGTGGTCTATCCTGAATCTGACGTTCTTGACCTTGATTATTAACCCATGAAAAGTTAGGATTCTTGCTCCAATCTGGATTATAGGTGTTGGAGTAAGGATTGTTCTGTTGTCTCTGAAAGTTCTGTGCATAATTGACTTCTTCTAACTGATAAACATGGGTTGAGGCTAAAGGACAACTTGCAGTTATATGATTTGCCCCACGACCTCTGCAGACTGGTGCTGGTTGGTACACCATGCTCACATTCTGAATTAGTTTGTCCAATTTCCTTGTTAATACTTCCAACTGGGCTGCCAACGATGTAACTGCATCAATGTTGTGAATACCTTCTATTTTCCTGGAATTTTCCCTTTCTCTTGGACACATAGTCTGATTTTCTGCTATTTTCTAAAAGAGATCTAAGGCGTGTTGTCTAAGGGAATATCCATGATCGATCCTCCTACTGAAGTGTCGACCATGTTACGGTATTCAGGATGCAGGCTTGAATAGAAGATGTAGACCTTAGCATTTTTAGGAATGTCTAGATTGGGGCACCTTTTGAAGTAATCCTTGAATCTTCCCCATGCTTCTGGATAGTTCTTAATGTCATTTTGCTTGAATGTAGTGGCTTCATTTTTGATCTGATGGACTGGAGAAGGCGGGAAGAATTTCAAGGTGAATTTCTGTACCATGTCATTCCACGAAACAATACTCCAAGGAAGTAGTGAGCTTAGCTATTCTCGTGCATTTTCCTTTAAAGTATGAGGGAATAGACGCATTCGAAAAGTATCGGCTCACATGCCTTCATGACTAATCACCTCGCAAAGCATCAAGAAAGCTTGTATGTGTTCATGATAATTTTCAGTTAATTTTCCTGAGAACCTGATGTCCTGATTATTCTAAAATAAGTTGATGATATCTAGTCGAATGTGGAAGTTGGTCTGCCCAAAAGGTGGATAAATAATAGCTGGTTGCACAAGAGCAGGTATGAGATTAAATAATCTCTAAAAACTGGATCTGGTTGTTCTGGCACATCTGGTGGTAATTGAATTCGATTTTGATTTTGATTTTTTGCCATGTCTCTTACTTCTCTCTGTTTTTTTCTTCGTTGTCTAGAGGTTCTTTCGATCTCGAAATCCAATGGTAGGAGCTCAATTTCTTTAGAATTTTGCATAAACTAACAAAAAATAAACAACAAAAAAAGTTGTGTAAATAATATCCTAAAATAAAATAAAATAAAATAAAAATTTGAATACTATAAAACTAATAAACTCATATTAAATTATTTCCAGTCAACGGCCCCAAAAACTTGTTCGTGCATCCGCAAGCGTACGAGATCATTGACAAGTAATAGAATTGATGAGTTGAGAGTATCGCCCCACATGGAATAAATTCAATTCAAGTTTACTAGATTTTTATGGGATTCGAATTATGTAAACAAAAGAGAGTTTGATTTTATTTTATATTTCATTAATCTAAGAAACCTGTAAAAATGTGATTTTTTTATCAATTTATGGATGTTTATATTGGATCTCGAATCCGCCTATTGTTATCTATTTCAATTCTTGATTTGTAATCTAATTTCGTTCATACATTCTTGACAATCCATAAAACTATGATATATAATTTTATTTTTCAAGACGAATTAAATATATCCTAACCAGGACCCGAATCTATTCGTTCATGCATTCTTGACAATTTTATTTATCCACCTTTTGGCCTGGCGCATCTGGTGGTAATTGAATTTGATTTTGATTTTTTGCCATGCCTCTTACTTTTCTCTGTTTTTTTCTTCGTTGTCT